CCCCCCCCCCCCCCCCCCCCCCCCCCCAAACCTACCCCCTAATGGAAGTTTGGTTTTATTGAAAGAAAAACGTACTGGGCATTTGATGTACAGGACAATTATGGTACTATGGAAGGCCCGAGCCTTGACTCCCGAGCAGAAGGTACAAATTGTTGAAGAAGAATCTGAAGCTAATAGCGTCCAAACAGCTGAAGAGGAGGCCATAGCCAAAAACCTCCTATCTGCAGAGGAAATTGAAGCTAAAAGCCTCCAAATAGTAGATGAAGAATCTGAAGCCAAGAGCCTTCTAAGTGAGGAGAGTGGGTCCTTTCTGGGTGCTGAGGATATTAATATGTTTATGGTTTATTCCTCTGTGCTCTCTCTTCCTGTAAGTATATTTTCTGTTCACCGCATTCTGTGTCTTGTGAGTGTGGATGTGGTTTTATCTCCTTTCTTCGTCTTCAAATTTTTTTCCCTCTTGGTATGCTTTCTTCGTCTGTGTCTGTGAGTGTTTTGGGAGGGGGTATGGAGTTGAGATGAGTTTTCTATTTCCATTTTACATGTGGTTGCACATTTTTTTAACCAACTAGCACATATTTTTACTTTTCATTTCCAGACTAGTTTCTTTATGGAGTTATTTAGAGGGAGTGAAATTGACAGAAGGGTCATGGAGAGAGTTGGATGTCTCAATTATTCTCACAGTCCTTGGGAATCTGAAAATCAAGACGTGTATCAGAGGCAACTTTATTACAAATTTGATAAACGAATATCCCGTTATAGAGGAGAGGTGACTAGCACTCAGCAAAAGTCTCGTCTTTCTGGTAAAAATGGTTGGCTTATAGAAGAAGTCATGACTCTGCATGGGGTTCCACTTGGTGACTTTTTTACTGTACGGATACAGCCACCTTTAGCCTGCTTTATAATCTTTTGATATTTTTATGAGGTTAATCTCTTGTACAAAATCGGTTGACAAAAAAATTTGTGTGTCAAGATCTAGGCCAATGATTTCAAAAACAGTTTTTAAAATCATTGGCCCAGATTTTGCCAACACATATTTTGTAAACCAAATTTGTCAACCTATTTTGTACAAGTAACATGACTCATTTTTATGACATGTTTGGTATCCCTGGTAGTGTGGATTGGAGAGTATTAAAGGAAAAAAAAGGTTAAAATCTTGTACATTATACTCTCTGGTCCTGTCCAATGCACACAATGCATGGGTGAATTCTGGTTTTTCTCCTTTTGCTTGGAATATATACATTTCTTTTCCTCACTGGGTTGCCATGCTTATTTGCAGCTTCACCTGAGATACCAGGTTGAGGATCTGCCTTCTAGATCTGTAGGATGCAATGTTGAAGTATACTTCGGAGTAACATGGTCGAAAGATTCCAAACAGCAAAAAAGGATCACAAAGAATATTATGTCGAATCTTCAGGACCGCCTAAAGGTCATGTTCAGTGTACTGGAAAAGGAATATGTATCAGGGACATAGAGGGATCCACAAGATGTTGTCTTTGATTTTGTGAATTCACTTGGACAGAACTATTTTTTCTCGAAGCACCCTTTTGATTAGGCATTGGATTCCTGGGCAGTAACGATGAACCAATTGAGGTTTATTTGTGAGTACTGCATAAAAGAAGGCGAGTGGACATGGCCTCGGATTGTGCATGGAAGTGAAAATACAAGTATTCAAACCGGACATATTCATGATCTTTTCATTGGTAACGGAAAGGCAACAAATTTTGATGTAAAGGTAGTTGTATTCTTTGTCGTAGCAGATCTTAGAGCTTATTTTCAAAGATCTGATGTGAAGTGATAGTAGAAACAGTAATGCTATAGAGATGCCTAACATAGCAAATATATTTCAATCACAGTTTTGGATATATCTTTTGAGTCCACTTTTGGTGGCTGTAACTTCAATTGTAACTGAAACCTTCAAATGTTATAGAAATTCTTTTGTTAATTGAGTGGCTAGATCTTTTTCCTATTAGTGCAAGTGAAGAGTAGAAACATTACAGATTTTCCTCCAACCGAATTGAAGTTGTGTGCCATTTCTTACATTGTTTTGCTTAATGGCATTGTTTGCTTCTCCCAGAAAACACAAATAGTGCCGGGGTAGATTGGGGCAGGGGATTGGATCCATTGTTAATCAAAGTGAAACTAGTTTGCTCGTCAACATCATTCCCAAGCTTACTCAAAGCAATTGGATTCCTCTGTCAGTTCAAGTGCTTTGCTCGTGTTTCTAATTGTGGAAACCTCTAGCGCAGGTTGATTGGCTTGGACCAGTTCAAACACAGATGTATCTCCAACCTCAATTTATGTGGCTTTGTCCATGCAAGATTGGTTGGATTAGCCCACT